TAAAATGTCTTTAATTGTGTACTGTGTTGGCTGATAATGGCATCCACAGTGCCTCAACATTTAAAATGACCAGGCATTGTTGCTTAAACCATACAACTGGGCATATGATCATACTTACATTCAACCTACATATGCTCTTTTTATTTTAATACAACTGTGAAAGTTGTAAGAGGAGGAAGCATAAGCTATGCCACATTGTTCTCTTTGTACCTGCATTTCCAACCATAATAATGCTTCAGCTCTGTAGCAGCATTGTTAGATGTTAATACTGTAGCAGCAGAAGTGCACAATAAGGCTGTGTGCATAAATGCTATTTTTACACTCCAGGTCTAAAGCTGGCTGTCAGCCTGTCTTCCAAGATATTTGTGCTCCGCTGGCTCTTGATTATGCAAATACTATGCACTATAAATAAATTAGTATAATTGCATCTGAAATATGCTTTGAATCTTTCTCGAAGATGAAAGGGTGTAAATAATATATTTCGTGTCACTGCATTATTCATCCTCTATTAATTACAAACATCGGGGGCTTCTCACCATGCTATATTCTATTCTCATATTTTAGGTCATCGACATCTTATTTTTATACACCGTATACGGCGACGATCTCACAGTATCAAGTCATTTGTTTCTAAATTATGAGGCTAATTGTCTAACTGTATTTACCCTCAACATCCCATTAGTCAACGCTATTAGCGTTATGCAGTTTTCAAACCTTAATTATCTTTTATTGTTGAAATGGTAATTCATGTTTGAACAAGCTCTGACTCTATAAAAAAACAACATACCTGTATTCATTGTCTGAACACCCTGATGTTATGCATAAGCAGGTCTATATTATCATTTCATAGAAGAGGAGTGGCTTCGGAAAACATTAAATAAGCATAAATACTGTAGTGGTGCCGCCACTACAATTAAAATATGGCCGTCTTTGCGCTCTTTGTAGAGCATACGATATTGAGGCCTAGATGCAATTTGAATACGGGGAACCATTTGAAAAATATATGCTGTTCGGCAATTAAATTATATGGGCACTCGGACTAGCCTGTTCCACTGCATATAGAATAGTGAGCAGTAGTTGCTACGCTCGCATTAGCATCTGGCCCTTTTATGTAAATTTGATGAGAAAGGACTCATGCATATACGCCAGGGCTGGGGTGTACTCGCCTAATATCCTTATTAGAGAGGGATGAATTAAATATTTATCAGGGGGGCTAAGGGTTAGGAAGGGGGGCCTGTCCTGTGTTGTCGTGAGGACCCGAGGTGGAAGAAGGGGGAAAGGGAGGAGGAGGTTGGCTTTCTCTGAGTGTCTCTCTCTGCCTCAAGGTGCCACCATCTTAAGGCGTTTGGCAGTAGTGAGAGTGTGAGGAGGGTAGACCTAAAATGTCCGCTGGCATAGACACGTGCACGCATACACATTAACGCATACAATTTCTGTGTGGTATGAATCACGGGGCATTGAAAGTGGATTATTCATTTACTGTCATCGGCCTCTCTGCATGCTGAACGTTTCATTTGCATGTATTAATTTCCTCGATAACTGTCACCTACAAGATCGGACTGTGTTTAGTTTTCGGTTGCACGCCGTTTATTGGGTAAAAGCGTTAATACTTGCACCATCATCAAAACCAAACCAGTGTGTGGTAATATTTAATCATTTCAATTTATTTGGAGCCCAATAATCAATTTGCTAATTGGATTTGATTGAGTTGAGTTTAACTAAACATTGTTATGCGACACAAAAATCATTTATATTTGAAACTATTTAATCTAAGATGCATTTATGTGGTAATTTAAAGTGATATAATGTCCATTAAATATATTGATTGGCGTCATCTTGAACGAGTGCCTGCCATCTTAAACACATCATAGAAATAAAAGTCAGTGTATTGTATCTATGATGAATGTATCAGTGTACTAACTTCAACCTCAAGGATAAAGGTGCAAGATTTTACCTTTTGGGAACAGTTACTGATAAAACATTGCTCTTTTTGTGAGAGTATTTCTTGAAAATGTAACGCCAAAAATGACAGTAGAATTGCTTCAGAGCAGAGAAAGTAAGTCAGTGACAATATTGCCAATTTATGTAAATCAGCGCTATACTGTTCCCCTATCATTTTCTGTCTCCTTCTCTCTTACTCACTATCACTGTCACATACACACACTGTAGCTGACCTCTCCTATCTGTTAATTATCATACATTTGCTTAGTGAGGCGGCATACACACAGGCACACACACACATACACAAACACACACACTCATACACACACAAACACACATGGGCACAGCGCACACACACACACACATTGTTCAGTGAGATACAGACACAGCATTAGCATTCTCTTTCATCCTGAAGTGCTCCTGAGGCATAGCATGAGGAAGAATGTGCAGGAAATTATTCAAGATGAATTATACCACACATCATCCTTATTTTTTAGGGCACACACACACACACACACACACACACACACACACACACACACACACACACACACACACACACACACACACACACACACACACACACACACCACACACACACACACACACACACACACACACACAGCTTGGTTAAATTGGTTGACAAAGTTTATATTGATAAATGTATATTGTGTGTATAATGTATAGTGTGTGAATTCATCTGGAAGTTTTCATGTTAATAAACTATATGTATATACTATATGTACGAGGATAATATATGAGGTGTGTGCACTTGTCATAGTCAGCCTGGTGTCCTTTTTACGCAACATAAGGTATAGAATATCAGCTGTTTCTTCTGATGAGTGGTACGCCCCGGCGTGCTGCCAAAGAAGTGGGAATAATTAAGCGGCTGCATGTTTGAGCCTGGCGTTGGCTAATGGATTGTTACCGGGAGGAAATGAGACAGGCATCATGGGGGAGCCGGTGGCAAAGCAGACATCGACTTTGGATAATGAAACACTGAAAGCCACCGGGGTGGAGAGTAGGAACACCTCTCGTAAAGGAAATGTTTTTGTTTTATGAATACTTCTTTTTGTCATATAGGTAGGAGCAATTGGCGAGGAGTCACACAGTGTGAGAAGGGCACAGTTGGTTCTGCATCACTTAAGTCAAGATGTAGTTTTTCCTATTTTCAATTACTTACACTGTGTTTCAAATCAGTGCAGCTCACTTAAACATCATTTTTATTTGTACACTCTATAAAAAGAAGGGCTTGTGGACCTACAGTCTTTATGTTCCTTTTCATGTTATCTCATTTTGCCTGTGTGTGATTGTGTATATAAATATGCAATTTGCATTAGAGCTAGCATCCTCTGCATCAGCACACTGCTGCTTTAGAGAAAGCAGGTGGACGATTCTTGGCACCGTCGTCACCCACCCACCCCCAACCCATCCTACACACACACACACACACACACACACACACACACACACACACACACACCACACACACACACACACACACACACACACACACACACACACATATATGTAGGCTAGAAACAGAGTAGTGTTGGAGAGAGGGGGAGCAGAGCAGAGGAGGGAGATAGAGGAGCAGGAGGGAGATGGGATAAGACAAGCCACACAAGCCGCAAAGGGAACGGGGTGAAGGTGGAGGGGGATGCTGTATAGTTACCCTAAACCCTGCCGTAGGGCTAAAAAGACACACACACACCCCCCCCCACACACACACACACACGCACGCACGCATGCACGCACACACACACACACACACACACACACACACACATTCACTGGTTTGCAACACAACCGCAAAACGCACTCAGAACATTGTAGAACATTGCAATGGGGAGTATAAGAATACGCCCTGGGTGAAGATGTTGGTTGTTTATTATTATCACTGAATTAATAATTGCATTTAAAGATAATGGTTGTCAGAGGTTTATGTTTTTTTATAATTTTATCGGGATCCTTGATTTTTATGTATATTCAGAGTTTGTATTTTATATAAAATATAAATAAAATTGAGAAAACAATAATATAATAATATGAATCTTGTGTGGTTCTGTTATTGTTTATTGCCATGCAGCACTGTCATGACATTGTGTGTGCCTGTGCAAGTGTTTGAATATGATGTGTGTGTGAGTGTGTGTGCACTTTGAAACAGAGCTCTAATAAAATGTGGCATCTATCAGTTTGATATTGACATGCCAGAAGAGCCTCACAATCACTGGGGAACATAACCCGAATGAAATCCAGAAAACAAAAACGACGTAGTGTCATAACCACCACATGGTAATGAAATGTACTTATCGAATATGTAATATCAAAGGTGCAACATTCTTGTCCAAATACAGTATTTTTAATATGAGACCAGTTATTAAATTGGTTCTCGTTCATCATTTAAAGATCCATCCAAGTTCATCGGCATGTTGCTGTGTGAGGTCAATAATTTGGTTTAAAACGAACCAAAGACTGATGAAATCTACCATGTTTACCTTTGACCTCAAACTAGGCTTGTCCTTTAGCCTTGACATTTGACTTGTAACCTTTTCACTCCAGTGAGAGGAAGCAGAGGTCAAGGGTGGTTTGGTTCAACAACATGCCTGCTGACACTGAGTTAGCATTCACCAGCTGGATAGATTCACAATTTCTAAAATTATCAAAATGTTAATATGACAAAAATACAAGTTTAGAGCTCTAGGTTAACATTTACACAATTTCTGATATTAATAAAGTCTTAAAAGGTGTATACCTCCAATTACCTTCAAATTATCTGCAAACCAGAAGCTCACTTGCCATAAAGATATCAAGTTAACTTACTTCATAGGCGAAGTGTAAAGGTTGAGAAGACGTTTGCACAAAGTTATTGCCAATTTGATTTCCTGCAAGTCAATTTAGCGATGGCAAATGCTACCCCTGTTTCCTTACTCTACCATATAACTTTTTTTGTGGAAACACGATAATTGTGATTTGCTCAAAAAGAGCAACTCAACATGTAAAGGTTAACTCTTGGTAAATGTATTTACTCTGCCTTTTTGTGTCTTTCTTTGCTGTAGTGATGGAGACATTGAGCTGTGGAGAACTGAAGGCAGCAGGAAGTAGAAGACCCCCATGAGGTGAGCTTTGGTTCATAAACAAAAATGCATAAATGTGTGTGTGTGTGTGTGTGTGTGTGTGTGTGTGTGTGTGTGTGTGTGTGTGTGTGTGTGTGTGTGTGTGTGTGTGTGTGTGTGTGTGTGTGTGTGTGTGTGTGTGTGTGTTGGGGAGGGGGGTCTTTTTGAGATTATTGCGACCACTTGTAATTAAAGGACACAATCAAATAATTGATAATCAGTCTTTACATTTCTGATTAAATGCCGAGCATCATAATCACCATTATATTTTAAATGTACAAATCACGCTGTTGTTGAAAAAAACACAGTGTTTAGGATTACTTACCAAATACATGGATTCGATTTTGTTCGGACACATTTTGATACAAAGTATTACAAAACATGGTCAAAAATGTTTTATTTTTTCGAACTGTGCCTATCTTTGCTGATGTGTGAGTCTGTGTCCATGTGTGTCTGTTGGCCTGCAGCAAAGTTAGCTCATGTGTGTGTTGGATAAAGGCATGGATGTTAGTAATGGTCCAGAGGACACAGTAAACAGAATAGCAGTGGTTTGAAGGGAGCTCAGGCGATGTGCGCAATATCAAATCCCATGACCCACTCTTTGCCCTGTGGTCCATAACAAAGACAAAAGCCCAGGGGAAACAGAGGTTACTGTTCACTGTTCAACACAACACAACACACATACGCACCAACAGTAGCTATAACCAGGAAGTGATTAAACTGTTCCTGTGGCCATTGAAATCCATGCGGTAACAGTAATCAGTGCTCAACCCTAGTACTGTTTGCATTGCGTGCAGGACATCTCGCTCCATCAATTAGATCCCCACCGCCTTTTTAACGTGTGACATTATATGTTATTGAAACGATAGAAACAATTTAATGAGCTGAGATGTGTTCATGACATGGACATATTTATCACATTAGTTGCAAACAGCAACCAATCGCCGTCTGTGCTGTCTTTATTTCAACTTTGACCACATTTTTCCGACAATTAAGTGACCTCTAAAGTGGCTTTGTTGGTTCAAAGTGTTAAGATAAAAGGTGTACACACTGTGCACAACTAGCTGAAACGTTTTACATCTGCTAGTGTCAGCTACAAACATATAACAGCACTATACTATGCTTATAATAAGACAATATTTCGCCCATAAAATAATACCACACAGTGGCCTCTTTGGTAGGAAGAATCAAACCAAATCAAAACACCCCATTGATTCTACAAGTTTTGTTTTGAGAGTTGAAAAGTTGATTTCTTAGCTAAAGAGAAGAGGCATGTCAGCACCCATGGGCCTCAGTATACTCGTCCTAATTACTCTCAATACTGTCTCACACATATTTGGTGGACTGCTCAGAAGGGCCAATTAGAAAGGCAGGGCAAGTCACTGGGTAGGAAAAGGTAGTGCTCACGTCTGTAGCTCCATCTATACCACAGAGAGATGGAGCCTTATATCAAATACTGCAGTACATTTCCCAAAAATAACCCTGTTGGCATGAAATTAATGGTTTTGCCACCATAACATTGATTTGAATAGAATATGTTATAGCTGACCATTGGTATCTTTCTGTATGTACTATATACATATTTTCATTCCAGCATAACTTCAGTGTGCAGAGTGTAGCCAGGATAATTTCGATAGGTGTTTAAAGGGCTAAAGTGAAACCCATTAGCCCTCTGTGAAAGAGAATGTTGTTACCTGAGACTTCAGAACTGTGTCATTGTATAAAGAGGTAGGTCAACAGCTTTTCAGTTTTTCAACACTTGGCTGAATAGCATTAAAAGCTGACTTTTGACTTTAGTTTAATTGGGTTTCACTAGATAATTGAATAACTGAAGACCATCTGCTGAGAATCTTTGCAAATATTTTCTATACATACAACACTATCATCTTACATATCCTTCCTTCTGCTAAAAGTCTAGCTAAAAGTGTGTCACGGTCATTAGACCCCTATATCTGACTTTGCATTATTTAGTTTGAGAGGTAGGCTTTTTTATGAGTAACCCCCCACCCTCAGCCATTACCTGTGTGCAGAATAAAGCAAGGTCATGGGGCTTGAAGCTGAAACAGGAACTCAGAGCACCTTTTCTATTTTGCAGTATTTTGTGAGACAATATCAAGAAAGGACATGGACTTTTTACAACCCATGTATTTCTCTCTCTCACTCTCTCTCTCTTATGTGTATGGTCATGATTGATATTATTTCAAGCTCAGACAATAAAAAAGCATATAGCATATAATGAATATTAAAAAAGATCCCCCATAAAAAGACAGTATGTTTACTATACATTATAGTTTGTTTATATTGCACTGCCTCATTTCCTATTCTATACTCATAATCATTTATCAACCATGCATATTTGGAGTACAGCTGCTTACTATTATGGTGCCAGCGGGGGTAAGTATTTAAAATGTGGCGCCCGTATTCCTGGATATTATCCCTCCAGTCTAGTAGGCTGGCTTCTGCATCATCAGTGCAAGCCCACAGCGATTAATGAAGTCGTCTGCATGTGTCTGCATGATTAAGGAGTGTTAAAGCGCCAGCGTGTGTGTGTGTGTGTGTGTGTGTGTGGGGTGTGTGTGTGTGTGTGTGTGTGGTGTGTGTGTGTGTGTGTGTGTGTGTGTGTGTGTGTGTGTGTGTGTGTGTGTGTGTGTGTGTGTGTGTGTGTGTGTGAGTGTGTGTATGTTGTCTCGAATAATACAACAGAGAACAAAAGACACCAGAATACAATGAGGCTTGCAGTAGGTATAGGTCCATTCACAAACATACAAATAAACAATTTTGCACAGTAAAGATAATATGGTAAATGCAAAGGTGGAATTATTCATGATGCCAGCAATTATAAATGATGACTAAAAGTTGGAGGCCACAGAAGGAGTACAGTATTTATGAAAATATTGTAAAATAGGTGAAAGGCTTTTTTTATTTTCAATGATTTAGTTGCAATCTATAATTTTCCTTTTTCCTATTTGTCAAGTAATTCCATATGTCATGCTTGGATGCAACCTCTACCCCGTGCTATATATTGCACATGCTCACGCCTCTTAGCAATAGCACACTATGTCATTTCCATGGTTGTTCAAAGATTCCACAAAACTAGGACATAGTCATTTTTATTTTCCTCATTCTGATGCACCACATTATTATTGGTGTAGCATGGGATGAGTCTGGTATTTGCAGAAATGTCTTCTTATCCATTTAAAATTAAACCAGATTAAAATACAGGTTTTTTTAAATGCAAGTAGCTTTCATAGGGCTGTGTAATAGCGATGTGTAGGGATGGTTTCTTCTGCATCATGATACAGTCAGAACAAAGGGTATGCACATTGTAAAATCATGCAAATTAATGCAAATCGCTGGCAGCAAGGAATAGCGAGGTGGTTTGTATAAGCGGAGGGATGCCAAGGACTTTGTATACACTTGCCGGACAATCTAAGTTGTGGCAGACAACTAAAAATATATGTGTTTGAATCTGATTCTAATTTTTGTGTGTTCAGCAAAACAAGACTACTTAATTTCCTCTGCATACAAGTACTGAATACATCCCAGTACGACTCCTAAGGCCTAAACGATATGTACCTTTTTGTTTACTTTTTGCATAATTATTTTCCTTATTTCATAATGCAACAATATGCCGTGTTCGCTGAAGAGGCTGTCGTAAAACAAAATGGATGCAAATGTGATACAATATCTGCTAATAGCATTGCAGTAATTGTGTCTGTGCGTGGGGGGAATATTTATACCGTAGTGTCTCAGAAAAATGTAGAGCAGACATTAACACCAGCGCTAATGAAAGTCCTCCTCAACCTCCCAGTAAATATGTATCAAACATGTGACATTTCCTCGAGTGCGTTCAGTAACTGGGGGGATTTAGGTAATGATGAACTGGGTCTGTCTCCACAGTAAGAACAAGATTCTCCACTTATTTCCCCGGATATTTGATTTGGTTCTTACCATAAATATTTAAAACACTAGTAGGGTTACCTATATACTGTGCCAAGACAATATTACAGATGCATGAGCATAGAAAGTGCAAAAACATTCATTTGAGTATTTACAACTTTAAAGTCCAGTTGCTTCCATCCTAAATTATATATCATTTTTACATTAATACATAATACAACACAGCAGTGTGTGTGTGGTATAGAATTGCGTGTGTATTTTGGTACCATTGGATTATTCACTATAGCAATCACCTTAAATCAATGCTAATATGAAAATCAGCAGTCAATTGGTTTCAACTTGCGTAAATAAAAATAATTGCGCCCTTCTTTCAGACACACACACACACACACACACGCACACACACGCACGCACGCACGCACACACCACACACACACACACACACACACACACACCACACACACACACACACACACACACACACACACACACACACGCACGCACACGCACGCACGCACGCACACGCACACACACACACACACACACACACACACACACACACACACACACACACACACACACACACACACACGCACACACACACACACACACACACACGCAGACACAATATGGTTGAGGAGTAAAAGGGGGGAGGGCAGAGACAGACATTCACAATTGTGCATAATGATGTTAACATTGCTGCATGTCTAATGCAGGGGATATTGAGACAGGCACTGGCTGGTCGGGGTTCTGCTGTGTTGTATGTGTTTACAGGTATAAACTGTAGCAGTGCATAATGATGTATTAATTGTGGCCTGCTCTCGCTTGTGGTGTTTGGGCCCCTTGCCGAGGTTACTACGCGGCCTTTGATGCCGTCGTTAATCTTATCAAACATATGCAAGATCACACTGCATTTTATATTCTAGTCTGCTTGCGTGAAATCAGACTGTTACGGAGTCACTACTGCTGTTATTGCTTTGTACAAAATATCCACCAGTGGACATTTGTTTATTTTTTGTATTCTCAAATGATGGTTAATCTTGGAGGGATCAAGCCAGATATACAAAGCTGTTTGAATTTAACTACTCAGCAAAGAGATAGAT